AACTCCTCCCAAAGGAGCTAAGGTGCGGTCTAGCTTACACGGTTAGCTGTTAAGATCAAAATGGGTAAGTGTTACCTGTAACATATCATATAGCGCTCAAACGTCAACTCGCAGAAAATATTTAGGTCAAAATCAGTTGAATCAGTGATTTGCACATATTAGCGACATTTTAGGACTTCAATTGTGATCTTTCGTGTGGAAATAAGAAAAAACGTCATAAGAAATACCCGAGCAGTCACTTGCAAATCAATTGGTAACTGTGAAATCAATGTTTATTTTCCTATAAAAATATGGAATATACACGTCGGGTCTTTTTGAGGAACTCCTACTTCACGTAAATAATAGTATTTTTTTAATTTCTTTATTTTGGTTTTATGTTTACGAAATTGCGTGTTCATTATTATTCCGTTAAACGGGAAGTTGAAGGGTTGATACGATATGGTTTTGACTTTTTCAGATTCCCCGAAAAGTATTAAACAAGAACAAAACGCTGACAGTAGCGGTAAGTACAATTTTGGAACTCCTAGCAGTTATTTGTAGCTCTCTGTTTTATTTTCGTTTGTATTTTATCGCGTTGTGGGAAATAATCTTTTCGTTAAATTAAGCTTACTGTCGCCAAAAGGAAACATAAAGCGTTGTTGGCAAAACATCGTTTCCCGCGCATTTTGTACGGGACAACCAACTTAGTATTAAAATTAATTTCTGTAGTAATATATGTTCATTTCATTTCATGTTTTTACTGCGTTCTTTGATTTGAGACAAAGTATTCGTTTTCGCCATTTACTCGCCTTGAAATAAACATGTCTCGCCTAATTCTATTCCACGAAATTTGCGTCGTCTGCAAACAATGAAGAGATCAATGGGTAATTTTCAGGGTGATAGTTTTATTTCTTTAGATAGTACATATATCTATGTTAATAAATGATTTATGAATAAAAGCACTTTTGTCACTACTGGTGTAAAATTTTTTTGTGTCTTGTTTCTATGGTAATTTGAGTGATGGATTTGTCTTGTCTCTATAGTAGGGAAAAATGGGGACGAGAGTCTGGGAAAATAGAGGGCGGGAGAAGGAAAAAAAAAAAACGGGAGGCCTAGGAAACGGAACAAAAACGCAAAATGCTAATTTTTGTCAGTCATCAAACATTCAAATACTCTCAAAAAAAAGAACTCAGAATTTGAATCAACTTGCTTTAGCATCTTTTGAGATTTTTGAGCCGACAAGCAAACAAAAATTCAATCTTGGGCTAAAATACTGAGGCTTACTTCTTATAAAATTTCAAATTGTTTTGTCATAGGTGTCACTTCAAGGGTCATGAAATGTGTTATTTAAGCTTTTAAATGACATGAGTAAAAGAAACAAAGCAAAAACAAAGGGAAACAAGAAAATGTCTTAGAATAGCACAGCTAAATGACCAGGATGTGTTTTAAATCTCCTACTAATAATAATTTATGGGGAACGGGAACAGACAAGGCTAGGAAACAAGAGATAAAGATATGGGAAATAAGAGGTTCTGATCTCCTTGTTTCCCCAAGTTTATATCAAATACTCTCTTGAGATATCTCCTTTCAATTGACACTTGGCATGATCAATTGCAAATCTGATCAGTTCTCTTGCTATTGTCTACCCACTGATGTCCAGTACATGATTGTGTGAAAAGAGAAGAAATAGTTTGGTTTTTTTTTTCACTTAATTTCAAATTTTGTGTCACCTCTGGCATTAACTGACACCTCATATGTTGTCATGAGGTCAAGATCTTAAACTTGGCAAAGTATAATGTTAATGCATGGGACATAAAAATCATAAACCAAACCACGAGAGTGAGATTCAGTGAAAACCAAATTAGGGGGAAAGTGAGTTGCCCATTTCTCTAGGACAAAATTCTCAATGACTAAAAGGCAATTTAATATGTCATTGTCACATGAAAATCTCATCACACATAACGTGTTTTGCATCAATTATCATTATTTGGAGCTGATTGCCATAACACAGTCAAACAATTAACATACAAACAGGCTTTCTTGACCAAGTTCTGAACCGTAAATATTATTTGAAGGAGTGCATGAAAAAAAACCCTAAATGACATCAGATAGACTGCAAGATTCTCCTATCAAATTGCTTTTCTCTTCCTTGTATGAAAAAGAAGAATTCAATATGATTTCAAGAGTCACTTAGAGCTTTTTTCCACACACCCCTTCATTTGTTCATTAACCGTGTACTTGAGAAATGTGTTTAAGCTCCAAAAAGTTTGGCACTAAAAGATGAACAAAAACAGGTGACCAGTCCCAAGTTTACTTCAAGCAAAGAACAAAGTCGTTTTCCAACTGATTTCAGAAAGAATTTAATTTAGTAATTTCATCTGTGAGGCAACAGCAACAGATAAAGATAAAATGTTGAAGTACAAGGTTATGTTTCTTTAAAGAGATCTATTTAAAGATCTTGAAGAACTGAGCATTTCAGGAATTGGATGATGATATTACTGGAATCAGTTTGTGAAGCTAAATTTCAACTTGTGTATAGCTCAAATGTTCGCCAGAAAAAAATTTTGAAATCTACTTTTCCGTTTGGCCAGCACATTTCAGTTTTCAGTTGCCATCACCAAAATATTACAAACTTGCCTTGTGATAGGCATGCAATGCTCATGCCTTATAATCAGTGATAGATTATAAAATAAGCTTACTGGTACTAAACTAGGAGAATCTGGACAGGGACAAAAATGTTCTGCCAGATGTAGGATAACTACTGGTAATATATATAGCACCAGTAGTTACTTTGTGTTTGTGTCACTGTCCAAAAGCTCCGCTAAAGGTGAAAGAATGCAAGCTTGATCTGTTATTGTTGTTTTTTTTATCATAATCATATCTCAGTCTTAAGTTTTGAATCTCCTTTAATTGAAAATTTTTACTAACAAAACTACTCAGGCTAATTTCACTTGCCCATTGGACCACCAAACTGCTATTTTCACTTGCCCGAGAGCAAAATTTACTTGTCCTGGGCAATCAAACCAGAGTTTTTTTCCTTCCCAAAATGAGGCAATAACTTATACTTAAGCCTATCATGTGATCAATTAACCACTCAAATTGTATTTGGTTTAACTTAATAAAATAACTCTGTTACAGTCTTGCTTGACTGTCAGAAAGATATACTACGAAACTCTTCTACGAACCCAAGTTATTTATTTAACAATACGTAATATAATCTTAGCAACAAAGGAGCGATTTCTGAACAATACAATCTACTATTAAACTAAATTAAGCCTACTGCTAAATTTTAGTCACCACTGACATGAACTCACAACAAATCTCGGTGTCTCCAAAGAAATCTCCTTACAGTCCACTTGACCTTGAACACAGTTCCTCAATAGCTTTTACAATAACGATAGCACTCTATAGCTTTTTCACTCAGTCTCTGCCGAGAACAACAACAGGACTATAGCTTTTCCACTCGGTTTCTGCCGAGAACTACTAACGGGCTCTATAGCTTCTTCTCTTGGTCTCTGCCAAGAACTAACAGAGACTGTAGCTTCTCAACTCGGTCTCTGCCAAGAACTAACGAGACAATCTATACTACCTAGCTGATTCTTTATATACATTTAACTAACATTATAGAAAATTCTTGGAACTTCTATTTAAAATATGTAGCATTACATTATTATTACATCATGCGGTAGAATGTTCTAAAATGTTCCATAGCGTGACAATAGAAGGTTCTGGCACAAACATTGTGTGACTTGACATTCTAGAAGTTTCCAGAGACTTAAATATTCATATCTGCTCTTCATAACAATTCGGTTTAAATTAATAAAATAAGATGCCCTTAGCAGATGTGATAAAGATAAAGTGATGACATAGAGGTAGAAGAAGAAAAAGCATCTTTTGTTCCAAGGAGGTCCACAATGTTTTATTTTTTATGCTAGCTTTTTGGTTGCTCTTGTGGTCTGTTAGGCTCAATTCCTAGCTGTTCTTTGAGAAAGGAGCCAATACTCCTCTTTCAAAGCTATAGCTGGATACAAAAGGATTATTTTGTTAGTCTTAACCAATTAAATGACTGCCTGAAGATTTTCGTAAACATGGTGGACAATTTCTGAACAAAATTTTCTTTTATTCAAGGCATGACTCTAAATCCAAGATATTTGAAAGGATGGAAAAATTTCAAAATCACTGCTGTTGCCCTTACACCAGGAGACTTAAAACATAGTGGTTTTGTTGATCGTGAGCATGTCAGAGTGATTGACCTAAATTTATTTTTCTTCAAATTAAAGCTACCCATTTTTAGGCTTTACAACTGTCAATGAAGCCAAAAACAATGTAATAAAAGTACTGGATGAATTTATTTTTTCGTTGTGTTTTGCTAATTTGTTTACTGCTGAACTTAATGAGTAAATTGATTCCCATCATCTAACTGATGGCTCTTTGGTAACTTACTATCAAGAAATAAAGGGAAAAAAGGTTAAAGATTCATACACATGTGGAAAAAGTACCAGAAATGTAAATGACTTGCAACAACAGTAATCAATTCCCCCAAACAACATGAAATTTTGGACAAAATTTATAATTGATAAGTTCATAAAGATGGTGAATTTTAAGCTCGGTAATGAAATGTGAAGGTGAATTAATCAACATGACATGAGCATGAGACAAAGAAAAATTCTGAGTTCCCGACAGGAATCGAACTCATGACCTCCTGAACACTGGGTAACTCAACCATAGCGTTGATCCTAGCAGTATGCAGGACACCTGTCATATATGAACTCAGTCAAATGACCTTGCTCTCCATGAGTTCTCATAGCTCAGTGGATAGTGTGCCCGCCCGATGTTTGGGAGGTCATGGGTTCGATTCCTATCGGGGACTCAGAATTTTTCTTTGTCCCATGTTCATGTCATGTTAATTAATTCACCTTCACAAATTTATAATTATACTAGAAAAACATACTGAATACCACAGAATAAGGAAATCTAACCATTAAAACTCCTTTTCAATGAAAGGAAAAAACCCAACAAAATTGACAATATCACAAGTTTTATTTAGTGTCTCCACAAATCTTTACAGCAATGAAGAATGCAATATCTCATTTGAAAGGATATAACAGATGCTTTCTGAAAAAAAATTTAAACCCACTCTGCTAAGTGATTTCAATGTAGAGAGAAAGGTCTTGGCTTGATCTATAACAAGTTCTATCCTGAAAAACAAGTAGAAATTCATGACATCTGAAATTACTTACATTTTTTCTGTATGCATACCAAGGAATCGCATTTCAATCAGCATGGCAACCAGGAATGGATTAGCCATGCTTTGATGTACTTTGTAAAATGAAATGAAATGAAATGTTTACTTTGTGAAATGAAAATCTGTGCTTTGGGAAATGAAATATCTGTACTTTGCGAAACAAAATATCTGTACTTCGCAAAGTGAAATCTGCACTTTTCTCCAATAACTTCTTCGTGATCACATTATCCGAGACATAATCCTGTGTGAGATGTTTGGTTTTGACAACAATTCTAACCAAACTGTGTCTGACAATACCAGTTTCCTCAAGATCTTCATACCAAAAATGTGATAGATTAAGCCATCATTAAACCAGAGCAAGGAAAAACTCTGAGTAATTTATATTTGACTGCTACAATTGACCAAAAAAAAGAAGCTGAAAGAGGAATATTGTTTTTTTTTTTTCTGGTAGAAATCAAGAAAGATTTCCCATGTAACAAGTAGTAACTTCTTTTAACCCTCACGGTTTACTCTAAATAAAAATCAAATATGTAGAAGAATTAATCAAAGTGTGAGGATTCATAATAGCTTTATCAAAATGTGACATGTTGATCAAAATTGATTATCAAAAATGTAATTGATAAGTTGATAGTACTTGATATATTTCGATAATTGTCATTTGACAAGTTCAATTTGTTGATAAAAGTCAATAATCCCAAGATTTTTAACTGAGTATCAACTTCTATTGACAAAAATGGAAAAAAAAATCCCTTTGGGTGAATGAAAAATAGTTTGAGTCAAGTGAAAACATCTTTGTATAAATGAAAAAATATTTCAGGAGCGCTGAAAGTTTTTTGATGAATTACTTATTAATCTCTTTTTTAATAATCTTATCCATGATACTTTTCATTTCCACAGCATCCAAGTATATTCCATGAGAACTGAAAATATGCATGTTTCGCTAAAGAAATTTATTACAGCAATTTAGTAATTTTTTGGAAATATTTCAAAGCAAGCATAAGCACAAAAACAAACCATATGTGCACTAACCACAGACACAAGATCAGGTTACTTAAAGTTGAATAAATGAAGGACCAAAATATTAAAAGATATCAACAAAAAGAATTCAACTTGATGTATAAAACTGGTAAGAAAATGAGAAATTATATTTTTTCTTTGCAGCACAACAAAAGTCAAGAAAATTGAACACACAAAAATAAGTTAATTATTAAGAATTTCCATTCTTTTACTGCTAGACAGTAGTAATCATAAATTAGAGCAGTGCGTTTATGCATGTACTTTGCATATTTGGTCAACAAAGTTTGATCTAATAATAAATTATGATTTGAACATGAAGTTGAACTAGATGTGTACAAATTATATCCTGCAGCAACAACCCATAAACATGTTTTTAATAAAGTTTTAATTTGTAGTGGACAAAATATTTTCTAGGAAAGACACTTAATTTAACTATTTGCAAAACTCAAACTTCAAGTTCAGATTACCAACACTTGTGATAAATATTTCCTGAGAGAATAAATTTCTCACCAACTAACCTGCCAAATAGCACGTCATTAATACTTATGTTGTAAATTTTAACTTGTGTTTGTGTTTTTATTGCTTAAGTTTACATCTAGTTATGAACATACAAATGAAGCTTAAATTAGTTTTGAATACAAATCATGTTCTTTAGATGAGCCACGCAACAAAGAAAGTTTGTTTCTTGACAACAAATTGAGCCACGCAACAAAGAAAGTTTGTTTTTTGACAACAAATTGATGTGGTCACTTGCCAAGCAAGTCTGAGCTAAAACTTGAAAATTTTATTTTCTAACCACATACAGTACCAATCAGAAGAAACCTAACCAGGAATGCTTGAAAGAATACATTCTGTCGCCATTCCACACACATTCCCATTCCTGTTCTGTATCCATTCTGTACCTGTTCCATTCGTATTCTCATACCTGTTCTGCATCTATTCTGTACCCGTTTGCAAACATGTTCCCTGCTAGGATTTTTCTGAGCGGTACTGTATCGTGGCCATTTGCCAAGCCTCACAACCTGAAAAATTTGTTTTCATTCAATTCATGGCCATTTGCCATTGAAAAGCTACAAAATATTCACTCTTGATGATGAAGGTTGTGTTACTTACGTGACAGCATCAAAGCCATACATGTTACTGTGTACATGCAGGAATGACACAATTTACCCCGGCCCTGCCGTGGAGGAGAAGGGGAGTGCGAAATTAGTTAACAAATCCATTCCAAAGAATCTTCATACAGACTAGATTAAAATTGTGTTACACTTCATGAACACAATAACACATACATGTGACATTTGAAAAAATGCAAAAACTAAAAGTGAAAAGACACATCTAACAATAAATTTAAAAACAAGAAATCAGATTTTTTATTTCATTTCATAATTTCTCCACGGTGCTACAAGTAATACATTTCAACTGTGCTAAATTAGTACTCAGTTAGTTCTTTTCTCAGGAGTTCTGTAGTAGCTGAACAAGACTCCAAAAACTATATTTGAACAGAGGTCGCCGTAAATAAATATGCAGAAATCCAGCGTGCAAAAACATTGTTTATTTTTAAAGCCTAAAATTTCCAAATAAAGGCAACCAAATAAATGAAACGCGACAGGAAGGTTAAGGTTAGACACTTGGACACTTGGTCTTTGATCAAAGAAATTAAAGGAAGAAAAATAACAAGATAAATTGTCTTAACAACTTCTTTTTCATCATAGCATGTTTAATAAACTCCAATTGCAACACAAACGATACAATGTGAAATATTGAACTTTTTCGAGATCCAGTCGGTGAAATCATCAACTCATCTCGACGACTAATGTATCGTTCAATTACTCTGCATTGATTCATTCCGACTTCTTTGAAACCAAGCTCATTTTAACCGAAGTTGATAGCTTCTTGAACGTTCATTTCGATCACTTCGCAAACAGAGATTTTGTTTCGCGCAAAATGACGTCAGACAGTATAATGCTATCTGATTGGAAATCAGTGTATTCACACCTCTGACACACCGCCGACCTAAAATATCAGATTGATAAAACATAAAAGAAATGGCGCCCTGCAGGCGAGAAAAGTCCGTTTTCCACCCGATTAACAAAACATCGAAAATCAACTTTGAGAAAATCTTATTCTGCCCATGAGATTATATCCACCAATAACCGAGACGGCTTGAAACAATCCGCGACAAACACGTTTTTTTTCCGCTAAATCCAGAGGGTCGGAGTTTTTCGGTCTGAGGTTTCGCGATCTGAGTTTCCGAAACACGCTATTTGAAATATCTTAATATAACAAAAGCAAAGAAACAAAATTATTTGCGACCGACGAGAAACTCGTCCTCGTAGACCGCGACAAAAGACGTAAGTCACGGTTATACTATCGAAGAATAAAAGGTTCAGAGGAGAAGCTTGAATTCTTCATCAAAACTCTTTAAGAAAGTATAGGCTTATACCTTTCGTTTACAAACTACAGATTCTTTATTTCGTAAAGTGCAGATTTTTCATTGACAAAGTAAGCTTACAGATTTTTACTTCACAAAGTACTGGTTTCATATTGAGAAATAAGCTTTTACAGCATTAGCGATTCACAAGATCGAGTCGCGTTCGATTTCGCAATATCAAAAATTACTCACAAATGATCTTAAAACGACCTTTTAAACAAAATTATTGAGCTCTAAGCCTCCATAAAGAATTAAAAAACATCTTATTCATGAAATTAGCAAGATTCTAGACCAAAACATGACGATGTAAAGGGTATTTAGTCGCATTTATGTTCGAATACATGCAAACATAATTTCGCTTACCTCAGTTATCAGTTCTATTTTCGCAGTGGCTGTCCAGACTTTTTACAAATCATTTGGAAAACCTTTCGGATTGTCGTTCTTCTTAAAAAACCATCTCCAGAAGCTCTTAAAATCATTTAAATTCGCCTCGGATGCCATCCACGAAAAGACCGCTACAACTTCGTTTTGCAAATAGTGCACATAAGCTCAGCGATTGGCTAGTAAATATATGACATTATATGGCTGTGTCTCACAAGGACTGGGAACTACCGAACTCAAGAATTTGATTGACTGAAATCGATCTTGAAAGCGGTCTAGATTTTCCCATCTAGACCTTCATGTAGACCGATACTGTTTTGCGGTGAAAGACTTGCAAACTTTAATGCAAAAATGTTGACTATTTTCTTTTAGCAATATTTATTTATAGCAATGCTAGAAAGTCTGATAAGAAAAGAAAAGAAAAGAAAAGTAAAGAGGACTAATAGACTTCAGTAGAATTAAGTTCAACTCATTGCTAGTACAAACCAGTTACACTAAGCAAATTAAATTTCTCTTGCTTGCCATATAAGAAACATCTTATTAACTGAGCTTAGTTGATCTGTATGGGAGAATCTTTACCTCGGTCGGGAGTACCCGGTGGGCAGGGGGGGGGGGGGNCGCTTCCCAAAACCCTTACCCTATTTAAGACAAAAATCTGCAATATTCCCTACCCTATTTATGAGCTAACCAAAAATTCGAAACCCTATTTATGACCTGACCTTTAAATCAAAACCCTGTTTCAGACCTCCGTTATGATTGGTTCGCTTGAAGGAACTGAAACAGACCTTTTCATTTGACTTCTGACTGAAATTTCCAAATTCTGTGAATTTGTTTTTCTTGGATCAGAAACTCAATGAGTGGTTCTGAACAGAAAGTGTGAAGACAGTAAGATTTACTTAATTAAAGTAAGCAAACGCCATAACAACTGTGTTCATGAAAAATAGTAAGTTGGATTTGACCGTTCTCCAAAAGTATATTTATACTACCCAAATGATTAATGTTATCAATCTGTTGAAAACACAAAAGACAGCTGAAAAGTTAATATAAAAGTCATAACAACATTAAAACAATTCTTCTCAAAGAAAATGCTAATTTATTGATAATAAGCAATGCATATGGTTGAACAAACGATATTTCCATACCATAGACAAAAAAGTCGTGATTTTAAACTTGTGTATATTTACAATGTTCTGTGGTGCAGATTTGGTTTATATTCAGGAAAACCATTGATTTAGATCTTCTTGTGACCTAACCACCTTTTCTTGCCATTTAAAAGTGAACAAATACAAACTTAGGGCCTGTTCACATGGAGAGAGGGTGTCCCAGCTAACTCACTGGTCGGCTACCAGGCTAGAAGGGTTGACACATAGCCCGCCTTTACATGCAACTCACCTAACTGGGACAGTGAGTGAGCTGGGTGGGCTATATTTTGAGCAGCTGCTAAGTACAACAAATAAAATCCCTGACCAAAGAAACTATTTGACGTCTTATTTCAGCTTCCTGCATGGGCACAGGCCTGTTCTCTACCTGAGACTCATCTGTTACATTGATCTCTTTAAATTGACTGTCATTCTGTGCAGCAGATAACACTGGCAAATGGTAACTATGAAAAAATTCATCTCACACGGCCATGTTTTCACAGTTTATCTCACTTCGGCTAACTTGGCACAAACTGTTAACATGGTAAAACACTATCCCACCCAGCTGGGTACCCCAGGCAAGTAGACAGGGTGCCCGGGTAGGCAGGCTACCCTCTAACACTTCAATGCATTTTCTAAAAAAACATATGAAAAGTTAGCCCTCCAAAGGTAGCTTGATTAGCCAGGTAGCCCAGTTAGCTAGGACACCCTCCCTCCATGTAAACAGGCCCTTAGGGTACATTCCTTCGGATTGATCTGGATCAAGATCAATTATGATCCAAGACTCGTTTGGATCATGGTCCATCAAAGGAACTGATGAATCTGTGATCAGAATGGATTCATCAGATCCTTTGATGGACCGTGATCCAGACAGATCTTGGATCACTATTCATGATCCAGATCACCTCAAAGGAACACACCCTAAGGTTGAAAATGGGCACAAACGAACAAAGAATTCAGACAGTTAATGCTAATTTCTTCACAAAAATTGATCATTAGACAACGATTCTGCCTGTTCTCAGCAGACTGGATGGAAAAATTCTACCTGCTCACACAATCAATCAGATTGCAGTATTTAGTTGAGCTTTGCATGCTCTGATACACTGACAAAATTAAAATATATACATCTACAAAATATGGAACAAAGATCCTTTCTCTATGATGTTATGATAATGTTATTATCAAAATGTTAGTTGACATGTAAATCAAATATAATAATAGCAACCTTGATTAATTCACAATTATAAGGAATGTTTATTGAACATGATACAGATTCAACAGATAGCTCTTTTTAAAATAACTGTAAATGAGATATTTACTTACAATACAAATGCAATATTGTTCTTAAAATATATAACTAATCTTAGAATGAATATACAAACTAGACAGTTCAATAATTAAAAACATCTGTAAGCTATGGTGACTAGCCCACTCAATTCAACTGTTTATAAACCAATCAGATACATGCAGATTATTCTGAAATTCAGTCCAAAACAAAATTATTGGGTCAAATAATACATTTCATATTCAATTCTTAACTTAACATTTGTTATAAAAATTTTTTGACAGTTTAAGTATTAAAATTAAAGCAACAGTTATATATTTTCAACTAGCCTTCTTATAGCAATAATTTGGTCCTACACAAGAACTGACATTCTGGTTACAGTTAGTTCATGTAATTTCTGAAATACATTAGACTGATACAACAAGATACTACAATTAACGTTAGAACAAAACTAGTGAAAAGAATTGTTATGAAAAAGTCATCTCTGTGATCAGGGTTCTGCAACTGACCACAAAATTTTCAGGGACTTAAATTTCTAACAATTAAGAGTAACAAAAGTAGTGTTTTACTATTAAAAATGATGGTATCAAATAGGTAAATGCAACTGTACAGTCATGTGCTGAGCTGTGAATCTCTCCCTTTAATGTAGAAATATAGCTTAATTAAGTCTGGGTTTTAGATAATTTCTACATAATTGCACTTATGTAAATGGCATTTTGTATTTCAGAGATCTAAAGATTTCAACAATAAATAACACTTGTATATTGACAAGTGACAATAACAGTATTGAAAAAGTAAATGTAAGGGATACGCCACAAAAAGAAATTACATGTTTTATGAAACTAATAACATGAATTAAGTTGGCAACAATAACAACAGCAGATAGTTATCCTAAATTAGTGCTATAAAGTGACTATTAACAAATGATCAAGTGAACATGCAAGAAAAGTAGTACAAAGTGATTGATGATGAACAAATAGGCAACATCTGAGTGCTTTAAAGACATCAGACTCAGTCATACTTCTAAATAGCCCGGAACTGGTCATCCTCCTACCAGTTGTAATTTTTACACCTATAATTTAAAAGTCGTCAATGATGTATTTGTTTCTTTCAGTTTAATTTAATAGTATACCTGTTAACTAGGTACGTGTAGCTAAGCATATTGACCATGATAAAAAGCAACATTTAAACATTTTTCAACATTTAAGTGGAATCAAAGAACTCTACAAATATTTCTATAGCCCCTCTTCAAGTTTCATAAAACTGATTCCAGTCGCTTCTTGTATATATGTAACTTTAATTAGCACACTCATTGATTAGCCTTGAATATATTGTAACAATTTCACGACTATTTATAACCCACAGATGCTCCACTGATAACATATCACGAAGATCAGGCAGATCAGATGCCATACATTGTAAACTATTGTAAGCATATTTTTGTTAATTAAGTAATGCAAACAAATATTGAAAAAACGGCTGTTTCAGAAATTTAGTTTCCTTTTTTAGCATTCTACTTTTTTTTTTGTTTTGCATCTCCTTTAAAATTTGAAAAGTTAAATAAATACTCTTATTATACCTCCCAACTCAAATACATTTTCTGATTGCAGCAGAATGTGTCATGTGTTGTGGGTCAAAACTCACTAATTCCCTCGGGCAAACAAAACTCACTAACTCCCTAGAGAAACAACAACTGGAACTTCTGATTCATACATGATCAGGACATGCTCCTGAAAGCACAGCAAATTTGTGTGAGCCAGCCATCGTCAGGCAAAGGATTTCTTCACACTTTTTTTCCATTTTTGAGTTGAGTCGAGATATAACGTAACAGTTAATAACCGGCTCCAAGGGAAACAGTGAGTTTTGTTTCTCCTCAACCGCTAAGTTCCCCTCAACTTTGCCTCAAAGAACATTTGAGGATCTCCAGGAAACAAAACTCACTGTTTCCCTTTGGACTAGTTATTAAGTGTTTATTATTAGCTGACCTTATAAATTAACACTTTTAGAATCATAAATGATAAACAGCACCTCAGAATTCAGAATTATATTTTGTTACTTAACAAATCTTTCTGAAAACTTTCTTACTGATTGTTAATATAGACAAAATTCTAACAGCTGAAATCTAGACATTCCAAAACCATTTACAATTTGAAAAAACAATGGTACATTAAAAAACTATTCAAACAAAAAATCTGACATTTGATATATTTTGAAATGTGAATATTATAACTCTGTATGAACAATGAAATTTGATTTATTCTATAGACTCACTTGCAAATGAGGACAACAAGAAAGGTACTGTATACTAGTTAAGCATTTCTAAACAGAGGAAACACCATCCAATTATTTTCCCTCAGCGAATTTCAACCCTCATTAAATTGAACTTCTTACAAGTTAACTTAAAGTGATTTCTTTTCCTTTCAAGTCATTTTCTAAACAATTCAAAACAGAATTCTTGATAACTTGAATCCATTTTATGAAAGTCCCAAATCACTGAATGCTCTCCAAAATTACAACAGAAATAAACTGCAAGTGAATGTAGCAGTAAATTGTTCATGAGCGGTTAACTGAGCATAATCAGCGAAAACACTGAAAATCAGATTAATAAATACAGGGCAAATTACATGTAACTCAACAAGCAATCTTACATCAAACATCTCATCAGAGTAAATCATTTGTGTTTTTAAGTTCTTTGCATGGTCTAAATCTGTCTATTAAATATAAAATACATTGAAGTCTTCAAGATGCACAGTATAATTCTCACTATTCTCCAGTCCTCAGCCTCTAATCTCGTTCTTATAAGCAATAACGTAGCAGCTTTATATAGTAACAACGGTACCACATTTCTGAATTCCCCAAAAGCAGGTCACTTACATTAGAACTTTAACTCTGTTAAGTATTTATGATAAAAATATTAAGTGCAGAATTAGTTTTAGCAGCAACATTGAATTTCTATTCACAGACTATCGCCGTAAACATACTGCAGGTAGTAAAAACAAGGACAGGGCAAGAAAATCATCCTTTCAAGGTAAATACAATGTTATGTTACCTAATTCTTTGGTTCAAAGATATTTGTCTAACATGAAATTAAATATGAAACCTGAAAAGATTCACAC